CCCAGCGCGTGCATGATGGACGAGAACCCGAGCAGGTTCCCCAGCGCGGACTTGGCCTCCTCCGCCACCTCCGTCCACCGGTTCAACATCTCCACCCTCCCCCCATCTTCTCCCTCAATTTGAATGCTCTGGTGCAATGAACCGGTGCAACGCTGGCACAACTCGAAGATGTTTCGACGAGTGGAGACGAGACGATGCGAAGTGCACGGGATTAGGAAGGGCTGAGGTCGTTCCGGAGGATGCTGCAGAGAGCAGGCGTTCTATTTTTTATTTTTATTTTTTTCAAAAGGTCGTAGATTGCGTCGATTTTGGCTTAGATTTAGAAGAAAATTTAAAAAAAGCATTGCCGCTGTCTCGAGAAGTGAGGGGAGGAACCGGAAGGCCGATCGAAGGGTGCGGGCAGAGGGAGGAGAAACGGCCCCGAGTGCTGTTCCCTCGGGAGGCCGAACGGGTATGAGAAAATGATAATAATAGAGGCAGGAGGACCGGGCATCGGACGATGTCTCTCGTGTCCTCCGGCCGTGGACACGGAAGGAAAGTGGGGCGAGTGGGGCAAGCGGGGGCATCGATCATTCATGGGTTCCCGCGGTTCGTGGGGGTGTGACGCCGTGTCGTCGTCGCAGGTGTCGGAGCCTGTCGCACCTGGTGGCGGTGACGGTGCTGTACTGCAACCAGATGGAGGAGAGGGTGGAGATGTTGAACCGGTGGACGGAGGTGGCGGAGGAGGCCAAGTCCGCGCTGGGGAACCTGCTCGGGTTCTCGTCCATCATGCACGCGCTGGGCTCGCCGCACGTGAGGCTTTTCTCTCTTTTCCCGTGAGGTGAAAGGAGGGGGGGAAGTGGAGGTTCGTGGGTTGACGGTGTAGGTCTCCTCGGACAGATCCAGAGGCTGAAGGAGACGATGCACGCGTGGCGGCAGAGGTTCACGGACAAGGCGTTCCAGTTCGAGGCTCGTCTCCGCCCCACTCTGGACCAGATGGAGGAGGGACGGAGCCAGGAGGCTCCCAACACGACCGTGCCGTACCTGCTTCCCCTGTGCTACCTCGCGGACGGGTGGGAGGCGCAAGACGCCCTGCTGTACTGGGAGCGTGGTTACGCGGAGGCGGGCCTGCCCCTCCTCTACCGGCATCTGTCGGCCGCGAGGGACACGGCCGCGAACACGGAGCGGTACGCGAGGAACGCGAAGGTGCAGCTCGGCGACATGCGCTTCGAGGACATCCCCCTCGACATGTTTCGGACCCAGTTCCACCTCAAGTTCCTGTGGGGAAGCTCGGGTGCCACCGCGGACGCCCGCGAACGCCACACCAAGTTCCAGCAGATCCTCTCCGCCCTGTCCCGGCGTTGCGAGCCCGACGACACGTGAGACAGAAAAAAAAAAACGTTTCGCCTCGATCTTCGCCGTGCCCGGTGTTCGCGTTCGTCCGTGTTCGTGCTAGTGTCAGGGATTCTTCTCGGTTCTCGCTCGAGCAGAAAAAAAATATCACATTGTGCCTCTGGTTGTTTTCTTCTCGTGGAGACGCCGGGAAGTCCGTCGAGATCCGGTTCGATCCGAGTGCTCCTAGCATTTTATTGCCTGTTAAGATATGATGATAACTTTTTTTTTAAGTTTTACGACCCAGGAAAATGCACCATTTTTTTTTTTAACTCTCCAATCGAGAGCCAAGCACATTCGACCGAGTCGGAAAATCCCGGACGAAATCGTTTTGTCGTATTTTCGCCACCAAAAACTTTGTGTGAATATTCGACATCCTATGGAAAGGAAATTATTTTAAATGTGTGGTGACCTTTATAGCGCAAACTTTTTTTTTCCCCGCGAACCTTGCGAGAGGCAGATGCAATTCCACCCCTCGACGGCGACTGTAAAAATATTTGTTCTGTCTGAAATTCCGCAAACACTTTTACTCGCCAATCCGTTAGAAGCCAGTTCCCTCGTAATAGGGTGATACAAATTAAAATGAAAAGAGTTAAACACTCCGCCGCAGAGATAAAAAAAAGAATTATAACCGTCGCGATCCTTGACGAACACCAGATGAAAATCATTCACAGAGCGATTTCAGAGCGATCGTTTCGGTTTGACGAGAACATTTCCTGGCAGTTACGATTCCTCCGTCGGGAGACTTTGTCGAATTGTGCGTGATGATTGCATTCGCATGGTCCGAAATTCGGCCTCGAGATTCGATGAAAAACGATCGTTTGGATGAGAGGGAGAGAGATACGCAGAGATTTCGGAAATATATATTTTTATTTCGAGTCGAAGAAAGGCAGGAGGAGGCCCTTCTGCCTACCTGAACGTCGTTGTTGGGGTTCGAGGGGGGAGGGGGGCGAACCAGGCTTCGTTTCGGTCGTTCTTGCAGGGGGAAGATCCGGTGGCGACGAGAGTCCGAGGATGACTGGGAGGGCGACGAGGGGGTCGAGGAGGAGGAGGACGAGGACGGATCGGGCCGGGCTCCGCTTCTCGGTCGCCAGGGCCCACAGGCACCTCCGGTCCGGGCGGTACGCGGACCGCGTCGGGGTAGGCGCCGCCGTGTACCTCGCGGCCGTCGTGGAGTACCTGGCCGTCGAGGTCCTCGGGATCGCGGGGGACGCCGCGCGCGATGACGGGAGGTCGCGCATCTCTCCGCGACACATCCAGCGGGCCGTCTACATCGACCCGGAGCTGAGCCGGCTTCTCAGTGACGTCACCATTTCCAACGGTAGAATCGGAACGAGTGTCTGAGTCAGATTTTAGTAGGAAATCCCAGGAAGAAATCCCTTCTGACCAGACGAAATACAGCAAGTATGATTGGAAGACTCATACGAAATCATGGGTGATAATTTTTTGGTGGATCCGATGGTACCTGTGAAATTTCCCATGCGAATAAATTCCTGCTCAGTCTCCCTTTCTACCAAACACCTTCAAGGACTTTCGTGAAGTGCCAAACAAACGCAGTCCTCGAAAACGAGCACTTACCATAAATAATTAATGGTTAGGAGAAGTGACTGGCCTTCTCAAGGCACTGAATGGCAATTGGATGACCTGGAAAAATCAACCATGTTCATCTGGCCTAAATTGCACTAACTGCAAGCATTTTTTTTTACTGAGTCCACAAAATTCAGGGTTTGATAAAATCAAGGAGAAATCCAATGCACCAAAAATTCTGACTAGGAGTTTGGAGAGATGAACAGCATACTATTGCATTTCAGCTACATTCTTCTGAATTGAAACCATACCACACAACCTCATCGAGGCTAGCTTTGTGGAGACCTCAGCTCTACCTACGGCACGGGACCCGAAGCCTTTGCGTCTGGGTGACTTTCCATCCCTCATATGGATTGTGCTGCATAAAGATGTCTTTTGTCAGCGTCATGTGTTCATTTTCCCTATTGGTATGGAAACCATTTTTCTAACAGAGTTATGGTCAGAACACCCAAGATCACCACCTAAACTTCATGAGGGTGCAATGCCAAAAGAATGAAAGTAATACTTTGGAGTTTCATAAAATGGTCTCAGTGTGACACTGCTGCTTTTTTTTCTTCCAAGCTCTGCCAATTAAGACTTTAAAAATGAATCGCAATTCCATTCTAGCTCACATTCCCAAAATTATTGAAGTATATCCAAAAGCACAATGACAACTACAGCACTGCTTCCATGTTAATGAACAAGTAGTTTTACTCCAACTTCCTGATGATTTACAGTCTCATTAGGCTGCAGTTTTCAAAGAGGTTCAGAAGGCATTGGAAGCTGGGTTCTGGTAAATTCTTTGTTAAAAATGTGCAAGTTGAGTTCTTTTTGCTCATCTCTTTCATCAGTATTTTTCATCCGGACAGCATCTCCATCAATTTTCTCTATTTTGTAATTTGAATGTCACAACAGATCCTTTTTCCTCTGAAAAGTCATTCAGATGGTCAAGTTGCATGGCAGGTCTCAAGGGCTGCTTGTGACATCAGAGTTTGGCACATTTCCCTCTTGAGTGACTTGGAGATCAGCATGGCTAAATCTCTTCAGACAAGATGAATAAAAGGAAAAGTAACAACTGTAGCATTTGGGTTGGCTATATTTGCGTAAAAGTAACAACTGTAGCATTAGGGCTGGGTATATTTGTGTATCACAGCAACAGCACAGTTACATCACACCTTCGACCATCCAAGGCAGGCATCGAGTCAAGGACATTAAGTCTTGGTGAGGGCAACAGCAGCTTCCAGGTACTCTTGCACTGATGAGGCAGTCTCAAATAACTGGTCGCAGTGGTCCTTGCATACCTCCAGGTTCTTTTTCATTGCATCACAGGACTTGACAAAGGTAACAGCAGCGTCTCCAATGCTCCTCTCGTGACTGTCACCTGAAAAAGAGTGCAAACTGATGAGGACCAGCTTTGATCAATCCCTTAGGGATTGAGAGTTTCAGGTGCAAAGATTTCTGGGAATCCAAGAGCAGGGATATAACTGGGTAAGATTTTCTTGCTGGTTAGTAAATGTAACTTTGTCTTGATCTCTGGTTGGGTAGGCAAAGGCCAATCAAACACATTCTGCACAAGTCAAGAAACCTCCTCGTAAACCCTTCTGGTTGATGCCCTCATGGTTCTACACATTTGCTACTGGTTCATGCATTTTATAACTGCACACAGTCTTCATTACTAACCTATTTAAACATCCTGCTCACAAAGCTTTTCAATTGATAGAAATGCCCCTGAACTGTCTCCTTCCCTTGCTCTTTTCCAAAAGCTGGGTGGCTGAATAACACACATTTTGCTGTCCCTGAAACAGCCACTCACAACAACCTGAATACTGATGCTACCCTACAGAGTAATTTTTAATTGATTGCATCCCCCTTACCTCCTTCTGAACAGCACTACAATTCCTCCAATTAAACAACAATTGCTGCCTCAATGCAACTGCCCCCCTAGAGAATCAGTGATTAAAGCTGAATTTGAAAAATTCCTGCTTCTGCCACAGCAAAGGGGGATGCAAACAATAGAAAATCACTGTACCATCATCTCTTTAATTTTTCTTACCATGCCCATATCACAAGATTCTAGTCAGTCGGCAATTTGAGCCTCCCTCAAGAACTCAAGAATTATTCAATACCCTCAATTCATCAGGGCCACCACCACATGGAACATTGTGACAGTGTGTATATCTAACCTCCCAGATGTGAAACTCGTCAGCTAGTACCTTATTCCCACTTCCTCTGGCCTCAACACACCTCTTCACAAGCATAACCTCAGAGTTTCATCAACCATGCACCATCATACAATAGCCATTACTTAAGACAATCTTTTTTTCGTGCTTCCTGCTGTGCCTCCATCCCTAATACCCAGTTTCCCTTCACCCCACTCCCTCCCCCATCATTAACCCCTTCTACAACTTTTTCTTTTCCTGCTGATGTGCCTATTTTTTTGCTGTGCTGTCTTTCCTCGTCCTCCAGGTTCCCTTTTCCAGAACATGTTCTTTTCTCTACTCTTAAGTTAGTTAATTCTCACTCCTGGGATCACCAGCCAATTAGTTGAGAAGTGTAGTGTGCACACTGTCCTTGATACTATCACTCGTCCCAAAAAAAGGAAATTAATTTTCTTGACGCGTTTGAATAAAGAAATTATAGCCCTCAACCAATCAATTAAGGCCTACCCTGAGGAACAGAAGACACATCTGCAGTTTCGCAAGGGGAGAAGATGCAAGCTTTAAGGTCATCTTGTAATTCTTCGTTCGAAGGGAGCGCTGGTCTTTGAAGCGCAGGGCTTTTCTTCTTCCGGAACATCATGCTGTCGTGTCGGAAGCCGACAACAGGTCACAGAGTACAGTCTCTCATTCGGGCTTCCTCGTGAGCCAGCATCCAAGTTTCAGGTCTAGACCTAACGGTAGACTGGGGTAGGGCTGGTGAAAAGGCCAGTGGACCCCGTCCAGCCTAGTCCTGAGGGGAAACTGTATACTGTTAGCCCGTGGCGAGTTATATCGGAGCTTTTTGTACCCTGTGACACAAAATAGAGATGCATGGGTCATGCACTTTGTTGCTACCAGAGGAAGACGTGGGAACGCACTCCCGCGGGCCGTCGGTCCAGATGCACTTCAATCGACAGATTGAACCGCGGGTTTAGGTGTCGACCCGTGGAGGTCTCCCGTGGAAGCCGTCGTTCGTGGAGGGCCTTGACCTCGAGGATTGCGCATGCGTGGCTGTGGCCCTCCCGTGTCAGCTAAGATGGCGCATCGCTGGAATTTGTCGGTGATTGATTTTCAGCCCTTTTAACTTAAGGATTGGCGTGGGAGGGACTTTTACCTCTTGTAAACATTCATTTTCTGTAAGTCTAGCCTCTCCCGATATTCGATAACTGCTACGCTTGAGGTCTAAGCTTTTTCACTTGATAACAGTCTCGAATTGCGCTCTTGCGTCGATAGGGCATAGGGTATGTGGCAATAGGCTTATATCTAGGTGGTTACCCGGGTCATTTCCCAAGTCAGGCTCCACGTTTGCTCCAAGATAGGCTAGCCCTAGCCTAATGCTTCGGCATATCCGAGGCCAGGCTTTTTCGCCACAATAGCCCTAGGTTTCGCCTGTGATAGCTAACCTGTGATAACTAGCCTTACTCTACCTTGTTTTGACTTGACCCCATGGGAATATAATGAACGTTTAAACCCAAGCCCAAGCTTTCTCAGCTTAGGCCGTTTTTAACTCCTAGCCTTAGTGCAGCCTAGCCCTAGCCTAGCATGTGTTGTCGTTTTAATTCTTTCATTCCTTTTTCAGCAGGCCTAAACATTGAGAATAGAACTGAATTTCATATCCTATATTCCTTCTTTTTTTTTTTTTTTTTTAGATGATTTTGGTCTTCATTCCACTGAAGGCCTTTATCACACAATGCAAAATTGCCAGGTAGACAAATGGGACATATCTGTTCAAGAATCTCATCTTGAACATTCACATGAACCTCAATCTTTGTTGGGCATGTTCAATAACCTGTGATTGGAATGCAGATACAAAGAACCATGATCATTGTTCTGTCAGTTTCGAAGACAGAAGAACGTTCTTTACACCGATACCACCGTTGGTTTGCATGAAAGGAAGGCTTTCCAGGAGGAAGGGAATTTCACTGGAATGATTTCACGCTTTTTGAGTGCTTATATGGGATGAATGCAGATGATTCAATGACAGAATCAAATGGGGATGTGGCTGTTACTGCCATGGAGCAGGAGAAGGTGAACTGTGACAAATCAGTGATCATCAGTGAAGGACACCCTGTGACAATCTTGGTTCCAGGAAGGTTTCATTCATCGAATATTGAGGTTGATGGATTGGCATCAAGAGAAAAAGTTTTTCATGGTATGTGATTCTTGCTTCTCCTGGTTGATAAATGTTCTGCCAAGGGAAATGAGCAAAGTTTCTTACTTTGAAAAGGACTATTATACTGTGGAGACCTGCAGTTAGTAAAAATCAAAATTATGAGAACAGTATTTATATAATATAGGGCTATTATTTTCAAATTTTTAGTTTAGAATGTATCAAATGGTCTTGAAATGTAGTGAAGGGAAGTAGTGTTGGATGTAACAGGGCTACTAGGAAAGCTCCAGCTTTCATAAGTAGGCTTTAAACTTGCTACCAGGGTGGTAGTCTTTAGCTTTGTTGGTTCCTGGATGCTTTCAGTTGGCTTATGCTTAAACTATTGGCTTCATTTACTATGCCATAATTCTTCAAACAAAGGCCATATTTCTGTCTGATAATGAGAGGGCATGGGTACTGGTACCACTCCAGAGAATGTGCTTGCATAGGGGGGCATAAGGGTATAAAAAACAAGTGGGTCCTGTATATGAGTTGGAAGAGGATCAAATTTACATTCTAAAATATGTTCAATTCTTTTCCTAGCTTCCATAGTACTGTTAATGAAGCATTCTAGCAAGTGGTTCACCATCTTATATTGGTACCTGTCCTATATCACCACCTAGTGCACCCATGTTGATAGGTTGTCATGGGTTTCAGCCAAATGCTGATCCAAGTCCAATTGGTCATGTTTTGTACTAATTAGATAATTGAACACAGATTGATTTTGAGTGCAAGGGAAGCTTCTGGGTAGATGAGGTGATGATAAGTTTTCTCAAGACTGAACTTAGAATCTAGTTAACTGGCAGTCTGATGAAACATCCCATGATCTTGTTATGTGCAGATTTCTTGCATCAGGGAGTCTGCACAAAATGAGATTATGCAGTGTGGGCCATTCAATTTTTTGTTCTAATATCTTTCTTTGTTTGACCCAAGAATAGTTTTTTGGAATGTCTGTTTGCTTGGTGACTGATGTCTCATGATTCTCAGAGTTGGGAAAGTTCTACACCAAACTCTCCATGGTATTGAATGATGATCCTCAATTAAATGCATTGATACAAAGTGGAGGTGTCAGAAGGTGAATCATAAGATATTGGCTGTGATTCAGGTCAATCATGTTTACCACAGGCTTTTCTCTGATATTCCTTCACTAATATGCTTATTTATCATGCCCTGACTTACATGCTTGTATCTAAGTGTTGCAGTTTTTTGGATCAGTCAGTTATTTCTTCACAATTTTAAATAAGATTAAGTTTGAGTCTGTGGTCTCAATGCTTATCATGCTTGTGATGTGTGGGTCTCCAAGAAGGAAATAGTGGACTGACATGGAGTTGAGCTGGTTTTTTTTTAATTAATTCCATACAGGTTGGAAGGAGGATATTCAGGCCTTGAAGCGTGATGGATGTGCTCCAGCAAGAGACAATCCAGAGGATGAGGAGGAATGCCGAAATAAAGAAAGACCTATGTCTTGGGAGGGAACCCTCACTGAAGATGATCTCAAAATCCTTCAGCATGCCTCTCCTTATGTAAGAGTCAATTTTTTCAATTCATAAACAAAGATTTTTCTTTCGCTGCTTGGGAGAAACATAAATTAATGTATTACTTCCTGTAAGGAAGTGTGCAGTCCATGTGAGTGTTTTGTATTAACTGTAATCATTCTATGCATTCTCACAATGAAATTTTTACTTTGCTTGTAAATTGGAGGCTGATTATATTGTGGTTTTCCACATATGGAAGCAATGCATGCAGATCATTCTGGTTTGTTTAGGCCTCTCTCATGACTGACTTTTCACTATATTATGTCACAATATTATGTTGATCAGAAAGACCACGTCCTCTTTCATGAGGCCAACAATGAAGAAAACCCCCTTTGCCTGATGGTCAAATTGCCATCGATATCTCCAAGCTTGAAACCATGCCTGTATATTAAGAAAGCTCTGATAACCTGTCCCTGGTATTGCTATTAACTGATATGGCCTATCTACTGATGAAGTTTACATTTATTGTTTCACCACTATGACTGTCAGTAAAGCTATGAAACAAGAATATGTGCTGATGATGAATTTGTGCAATCCTACATAATAGTCTAGTAGGTGTGTATGCATTTTTCATCTATGCCCTGTATGTCAATAATTTAAATGAGTTATGGATCCTGATAATTGGAACCACCTTCTTCCTGCTTCTTTTATAGGAATCTCCTCAGCGAGAGTCAATCCAGAGGGCCCAGCAATGGGTGAGTTCTTTTCTATGTATGCAGTCTTGGCAGCATATTCTCCTTATCCAAGTAAAGTTTGACAGTTGCCAACCACCTGTTGTTAATCTCTCTGTTAAGTTTTGCTACTGAATTGATTTTTAATGTTGATTCCTGACGTTCACTTTTGCCGGGCTGAACTCTCATGCAATTATTTTTACTATAGGTGGAGGCAGTAATGAGTGGCAGCAGCAACAGCAGCAGCCCATTGCCTGGCTCACCTCTGTTGGGTCCAACACGGTATCCACCCGCCCTTCTTTTTACGCCAGATGGTTCACCTATCCATGGGCTCAGCAGGAATAACTCAGATGCCTCCCAACATGGAGGAACGTCTTCCTCTCTCAGCTACTCATCCACAAACCCCAGCCCCATTCCTCATTCTCCTGGTCGGTCTCCCTTCAGAGCCTCGCACATGGTGAAGAAAGAAACCTCCTCTCCATCTGATTCAGGCAAGTGGATAGATTACCTTTATCAATTAAATTTAACTGTTGCTGATGAGATTTTTCCCTCATGGCTTCTTGCTAGCACTGGCAGGTGTATGACAAAAGATAGACATTTCTTCTTGTAACAGGTGAAGGGGATCGTGAGAGTGAGGAGGCATTCCTTTGTGGATCTTCTGAGGTTTTGCCCAGCAGTATCTCAAGGCAGCAAGTCATCAACAGCCCATGCCCTGTGTGTGGTGATAGAATCTCAGGCTTTCATTATGGGATCTTCTCTTGTGAGAGCTGTAAGGGGTTTTTCAAGCGTACTGTGCAGAACAAAAAGAACTATGTGTGCCTCCGAGGTGGAAATTGCCCTGTTGGGGTTGCCACCAGGAAAAAGTGCCCTGCCTGCCGTTTCGACAAGTGCCTCAAGAAAGGGATGAAATTGGAAGGTGAGAGGTATTTTCATTGAGAAAGCTGTTACCTCTTTGTCCACGTTGCATTTGCTTTTCATCTCTGCTGTTTGGAATTTGAATTGGTCTTTCAAGTGTAATGTGTCAATACTTCTGAGCTAAATCTGACATCCTCTTGACCAGAAGTGGTGCCAAATAAGATGATATAGATAGAAGCAAATTATTTTTTGCTCTCTGTTCAGCTATTCGAGAGGATCGAACGAGAGGTGGACGAAGCACATACCAGTGCTCATACAGTGTGCCAAATCCCTCCTCATCCTCTTCTGCACTTCTCTATCCTGAAGAGGTTGATATGGAGGGCAAAAACATTCCACTTCTTCTTCAGGTCAGTCCTGATGTCAAAACCCCTTGCTGTGTACTGGCATTGTTCCTTTTTTGTGTACTTCATGTATTATTTCTGGAGGGTTTTGTCACTGGATGATATTTTTGCCCTCCTAGGAGATCATGTCCGTGGAGCACTTGTGGCAGAACCGCCTGGAGATTGGTGATGGGAAGGGAACACCTTCACCCTCACCTTCATCCTCTTCTTCCAGGGACAGCCTTGAAGTCTTCTATGACATTGCAGACCACCGACTATACAAAATTGTCAAATGGTGCAAGAGTCTTCCTCTTTTCCACTCTCTGCAGGTATGCTACTAGGGACCCTTTTGCAGAGTATCTAGTCATATTTGCAGTGAGGGCACGGTAGCAGGCAATGACCTGGGATTGCTATCTGCTGTGGATGAAGGGTCCATAGATTGCAAAAATTAAAATAAATCTCCAAGTTGAGGGTTTGAAGATGTGAAAGGTCTGAAGTGAGAGATGAGGGTCTTGGAAAGTCCAAAGTAAAAAAAATTATGCATGTGAAATATAGCCTGGTGAATGCATACTGTGAAAGTGGAGTGTCTCTAAGCTCTTTCACATGTCTCAGTTCAACTTCTTTTGAACATTTGTCTGAACTTCGGGAAATGCTCATGAATATCTGTTGTTCCTTTTCCTATTTTTTTAAATTTTGAGTATTATGGAACTTCAAATCAGATGATGATAGTAGAGTGTGGCTGTTACAGTTGAGCATCTTTGAATCTTTGAGGTCTTTATGTCAATAGCTGCAATGAAAGGTTGATTAAGTTGATGTAGAATCAGCTACACAGCTTTACAGTGGCACCCTCTATCAGCTGTTTGAAAGCCAGATCAGCCTTGCTTTTGAACTTCTTGGCATTGACCATCAAGGTGCTATTGAAGTCATTGAGTGAGGCCATTGTGTGGCTTAGAAAATATGCATTCTTGGATGAAGTGGTTAATGACATGTGTGCTTTGTTACATTGAGCATTGCTACTGAGACTTGGAGTTTATAACAAAATTGAAAACCTCTCTTTTAAACCATTTTCAAGATTTATGTGTTTATTTTAATCCATGTAAATGGAACATTCACAGTTCATTTAACTTACTGGAACATGATGACTTCCAATATCTCATTCCAAGGAAAAACTGACCATTCCTTCCAGCTCATTCAGTGGAATTAGGCCTTCATTCCACTCTTACTGCTTGGAGTTCTATGCTATTGCAGTACTCTCTGACTTTGACATGAGTGCAATTATGTAACGATTGGACCTTGTTAGCATTCCAGATTGATTGAATGATATGCATAAGTCAGGTGCTTGTTCAAACAAATATGGCAATCAATCATTTTACTAAATGTTTATATGCTCAATCTTTAAATATGTGTTCTCTGTTAAGTTGCATGCAAATGCATGCACACTAGTGACAAAACCATCCTCAATGAAGTGATTTCATTGAGGAAAAAGTTACTATTACTAAAACAGCTCATGTTTTATATTGATTCCTTGTATAGGTCTGAAAGTTTATTTCATTAAATAAGAAAAATATTATTTCTAATGGAATAATTTCAGTGAGATTTTTTAACTTGGTATAATTGCAAGTGGAATGCACTCTGGCTTACATCACTAATAAAATGTCAAACGCCCTTGAAGATCTTAGCTCTTTTGTGCCAAAATTAGCCTTATGTAGCCTTGGTACAGCCAAAATCACCTATAATTGACCAAGAATGGATGGTGTGTGCTAATTGCACTCTATCCATTATTGTGCAAATGGAGTCTCAATGTACTAAGCAGTTCCAAGGAAACTTCCCCAGTTATCTTCCTTCTTTTCTGTTTTTTGTGTAGCATTTTCAAAATTTACTGTATTTTAAAAGTCCATGCCTGATGGGTGGTTCTTTCTTGACAGATTGACGACCAAATAGCCCTCCTCATCAATGCCTGGTGTGAGCTCCTCCTCTTCTCCTGCTGTTGGAGTTCTATGCAAACTATCCTGGATGGTGAGGAAGTCAGGATCAGAATCTCATCCTCGAGGTCCTTGACTCAAGAGGAGGCTCATGGGCTCGGAATTGGTCCTTGCCTTGACCGCATGATTGCTTTTACTCAACACTTGAGGCGGCTGCGAGTTGACCAGTACGAATATGCTGCCTTGAAGCTCATCATACTTCTCACTGCAGGTGAGAGAGCTCCTTAGAGCTGTAGTAGTGAAACATAAACAGAATGGGTTTTTTCATACTGAGACATAACTTGTGGTATTAAGTACTTGGCAGACTGCATTCCCACATTAAAGTTATGATTCAATGACCTATAGTAAAAAGTTGAGATGCTCTTCTCATATGTGATTAGCAGTTCATGTATAGCTGGCAAAGAGTCAAAATACCAGTAGTGCCAGCACCCTTATATAGGTGTTTGAATTCATCACAAAAGTACTGTAACTGAATCTCATTTAATGGAAAAACCCAAAGCCCAAAGTCCCAATATCAGTAGATTGATAACCTTCACATTGATAACCAAAGTTGTGGACAGTTATGCAAAAATTATATATTTGTTTCATACTAGTTACTAGGATGTAAATTTACAATTCCAAGCATTGTATAAATATTCATTGATTGATTACAATGCATGTATTGTGCCACAACAATATAATTTGAATAGCTGAAGAATTGGAAAGGTCTTCTCTTTGGAGACTCAGTTGGACTACCCCATGGATGGCAAGCTATTCACATTCCACAGGGGGAGCACTTCATGCTGAACTGCTTCTTGTAGAAAGTAGTTTCAGGATAATGCAATTGTTGGTCAGGAACAGTTAGGGAACAACTGTGATTACCAACTCCCACATAAAACTCTGGGTCCAGACTTGAGTGTTCACATATCCATACATCAAGCCAGAGGAGTATGTCACAGGACAAACTGCTGAACCAAGTACAACTGAATGAGGTACCTTGAACTAAGAATATAAGATTGCATATCTAGACTGAGTTGCCAAAGTCTGACATGGGTTAGTAACTACTTATTCCATGGAATGTCACATTGAATTTGTAGCTTCTAGTCCTAAGAAGGATTTGATACTTCTGTCTGATGAATTTGTGATAGCTTAATTGGGACAATCCCCATTAACACTCAAGAATTAATAATACTCAATCTGCTTTCATTATTCTCCATAGATGTCCATGGACTGAAGGAACCTGAAAAAGTCAGGGCTTCCCAAGAGAAAGTATTGCAAGCATTGCAACAGTACACGCTTCAGGTTTATCCTCATATGCCATCAAAATTTGGAGAGCTGCTCCTTCGGCTTCCTGAGCTCCAGAGGACGTGCCAGGTGAGCTGCACATATGTATTCCTTTTGTCTTCATAAAATGTCCATTCCCCTTCAACAGTGTGTCCAGTTGTGTCCACTGATGTCATGGGTGCTGATTTCAGTTAACAATCAAAAGTATTGGGCTGGACCTAATAGATGCATTAGGTCAAGAATTACATGCTAAAAACAAATTCCATATTTTTCAATATTATGAGGTATAAATGTATTATTTTGTATTAATTTGAATGAAAATCCATTGATTATGACATTATCTAGGGAATGCCACCACAGGGAGGTGGACCCTTATTGCTTCTTATGAGCTGATGCAGACTCTTGTGTGAGAAGACCCAGCACCCAACAAGGTGACTAACAGCAGCAGCAATTCAGGCACTGTTTCCAGTTGTGGAAACCATGTTTGTACTGTCAGTACCTGCCAGATGGCTTGCCTGCTGCACATTTATTTTACCACATACTTTTTTTTTTTTACTGATACCTTCTAACCCAATTACCAATTGGATCTAGAGCATGGAATTTTTATTCTATTAGTTGAGATCTATTTGATGGCACCCTTGACATCGGCGGATGCAATCGGACACTTTACGACATACACTTCTAGTATAGGTCTCTGTTTTCAAGAGTTATAGGGAAAACAAAACACATCTCCCAGTAGGTGAGATCAGGATTAGCCATTGTTAGAGAAGGACTATCCTTAACCCTTTGAGGACTGAATTTTTTTTTTTTAACCATTCAGGAATATGGACGTACCTGTATGTTCATAGTCCTCAATGGGTCAATAACAAACCTACAGAAAAGAGAGAGCTTGGATGTGGCATATCGCATAGCTATGAGAGGGCTGATGCAACTGTTTACTGCAGTTGTAAATCAGTTTCTCCTTGCTGGCCTTGATCTAGATTAAGAGATATTTATCACAGTAGACATGCACAAATGTCTGGATTATTTATAGCAAGATAAAATTTTCTTCATAAACTAATCAGAATCCAGTTGGTCATTGTGCATATCTTGTTTCTTTAATTTCTCTCATACAGTTGGGGAAGTAGTATGTTACAGTCAAAAGTACTGTAGGAAAAGTTTGGTGAAAATAACATGCAAAACAGTGGAGACATTTAAGTTCCATTGGATTTCTGCTCTTTGATCACAAATGTCCAGTTTATCAAGATTTCATGTACCCTCATGTTTTGAATGGAAAAATTTGTATTTTTAACTCTTGTTGAATGGAACCAAACCAGTGACAAATAGAATCAAACCTCTGAGTCAGTGAGCTCTTTCTTGTTTGGCATGTCTTGATAGAAAATGTAAAGTTGAAACATGGTTTTTATTTTGATTTTCCAGGTTGGTAAGGAAATGTTGACTCAACGAACGTCTTCAGGAGCAGAGGATTCCAGTTTCAATATCCTGATGGAACTCTTGCGAGGAGACCTGTGAGTACGCTTTGCTCAAAATGGAAGGCAGCTGTCTCTAAAATTCCATATTTCTCCCTCCGGTGACCGGTGACTTTTTCTCCTGTGAGTGCTTTTGGTCCCCCTTCTTCCCCCTTTTGTACGAATGAGAGAAAATGTGAGATGTGAATTTGACAAAGATTTTTAAAGAAAATTATTGTCCTAACTTCATAATAAAAAATGCAGCCATGAATCTATGATGATGTTGTGTTTCATTGTTGGTCATTCCTGTGTGTTTCCTGCCATTTGAATTGTACCCATTGAAGTGAAAATTTTTAGGGTTGTACCGATGGGCAATTTCAATCTCAAACCCATCGGCCAGTGATTGTGGTCTGCAGATCGAGAAGAAATTTACATGAATCGCATGCTACTTCAAATAGGCCTATTTGGAAGCCATGTGACACCTTTTGGTGGGCCTCCGATAGAAACCACTTTTAATCCTATCCAACCTGTCTCCTTGTTACTCATTGCTGCTGTTAAGAGCGTTCAACAGTTTAACAACGCGTGTCTCGCTAAAACATAAGAAGTGCGATTATTTCATGTTCTTTACCGCTATTTTCCTCGGTCGTTTCCGACATTCCAGACAAAATCAATATTTTTGTCTGGAAGGGGCCGGCGCTTAGCTGCGTTCACATGCTCACATATTTTTTTTTTTAGTTTTGCCCATTATTTAAACCGGCATTGGCTGCTTGCAACCCTACCGATGGTGTTACACCAGCGGCCGATACATCGCCGCAGCCATACTTCTTCCCATTGGCATTCCTGTCTTGGAAGTTAGTCCACTCATTCAACAGCTTCAACGAGGTTTAAAAAAGATTCGGCATAGTGAGTAGTGTCAGCACGGACCTATATAATTTAGAATTATTGCCCGAGTTTCCGTGAAGAATCATCGCAAAATGCGCAAATAAATAGTATGAAGCACGCATTCTGTAGAGGGATCCATGTTGTTGCGAGATAACAGCAACGTGAATGTGGACACTTTTCCCTCATCAATTAACATTGATTTCGTTCTTCCCAAGGTCACCAATTGTCATGTTGATCGCCCTCGTCCTTTGCTACAATTACAAGAAAGGGTTGAAACTTATATTTTCCTGGAAGTAATTAAGATTGCAATTATTCATTCTGAGGGCAAGGCATTCTTAATCTCATCGCTGCAGATGAAGCCTTCCAACTGGACCCATCGGCACCATTGGAGACGTCTCGATTCCTGAAGACGTTGCATCAATTTGCATCCAAGCGTCACTGGAAATTCACCCTATCGCCGTCTCTTGAGAAAGTGAGGTTAGAGCAGCGGTTCCCAAACTGTGGGTCGCGAACATTTTCCAGTGTGAAAAAGCACTATATCCGCATTCGCTCAGGATGAAACATGTCCTGCAGGAAAGGTCGATTCTGGATTCCGGTGGGTCGCGATTCAAAGAAGTCTGGGAACCGCTGGGTTAGAGTAAGAAATCTTCAGCTTTTCAGAGGGGGCCTTGACCGCTTTTAAAGGCCGTGTTTTCACTCGTTAATCTTAAGTTTCCATTTCCTTGCTTTTTTTCGCATCCAAGTGTTTCTTCTTTTTTTTACATTTCGTGGAGTGCCTCAACCGACTGAACTAGTTGCATTTGTGCGAAGATGAACACGAGGGTGATCATATTCCTTTTATTTGACTTCCCATGCACAGATACTCTTCGCTAAAATAAAAATGTGAATGTAAATTATTAAAATGGGATGAATCGAGCAGACGCCCAAATCCTTTGAACTTCTCATGCACACTTCTCACCCTCGCTAAAAAGATAAGGGTCCGGGTCAAGCCGATGGGTGCCGCGTTGCACTGGACGCCCCATCGCTAAAACCAGAGTCGCGACGGACCGAGCCGATCGCCGCTCGACGGCGCCTCGTCTATAAGGTGACGGTCCTGTCACCGGCTCCGTCGCTGTCCTCGTCCACCTCGTTTTCTTCCTCTTCCTCCTCTTCATCGTCTTCCGCATAATCTTCCGCCTCCTCTTCTTCTTCCTCCTCCTCCTCGTCCTCGTCCTCCACCACTTTGGTGGGCATCGCTTTGCGCCTGGACGCGATCGCCGGGACGCCTCGAGCCCCCGTCGATGCACCCTTCGCCTTGGCGCTGGCATTCGTCTTCGTCGCGGTGGTACCGTTCGGCTTGGCGGGCCGAGGAGGCACGGCCGCTTTCGCCTTCAGCTTCGGTGGATCTTTGGGCTTCGGCGGATCTCCCGGCTTGGGCCGAGCGGGTGCAGCCGAAGCCGCCTTCGGCTCCTTCGGGCGAGGGGCCTTCCCACCGGCCGGCGCCTTGGGCGGCTGCTCCTCCTTCCCGGCTTTCTTGGGGTTCTCGCCGCCTTTCGCCTTGACGAGGGCGAAGGATCCGTTGGCTCCGTTCCCGCTCACCTGCTTGAACTTCCCCGTGTCCAGGCCCTTCTTCAGGGCCTCGCGCAGGTGATAATTCACCGTCTTGTTGTTTCCGTCCAGCTGCGACCGGAAGGGAAGGGAGCGATCAGACAGTGACACCCGGGCCAGAATTGCCTCCGAAAATTTCTCGTTCGAGATAGGGCAACCCACCCACGCACTCCCGCGTTGCAGATAAACATCTCTGGCGAGAACAAGTCCATCGACTGCCTAACGGTTACGGCTACATTTATTATCTTTCAAAAATCCTTCAACTTCTCACTTGCGGCTGATACAACCCCAACCCTTTCCTTCTCGCCACGACCTTACAATGAGGTCAGGAAAAGACGATCCGAGTTTCACCTTTCCGCGTCCTACCGTTTCACTTTAGAATGGCCTGATGCTCCGAAATTCCATGCCATGGAAAAAAAAAGGAAATTGAGCATGCGAACCCTTATTTGAAGGCCACCTAAACCCAAAACACTGCTTTTTACTTTAGCATTTCGCTTCTCGGCCGTGCTAGACGCGAAGGATCGTCGTTTTCGGCGGAGCCGTCCGGCTCCATGCGAGAGAAAAAGTCCTAAATGTGAATTGCCGATACCGAGGGACTCCGTGTGCCGCACGCAAAATTTCGAAAAGCGAGCTTAGGGTTTATGAGCGAGAGCATCGCCTCCTAAGCCCATCCCCGACGAGTTCCATCAGAGAAACTCCAGGACGCTCGAGAACCCTGCGAAACCTCGCTCGGAAGGCCAGCGAGACCGACGGCGTCGTCCTCACCTGGTTGTGCTGCTCCATGTACTTGAGGATGGCCTGTCGACTGCATCCTTTCTTGTTGCCCAGAGCCTCCATGGCCGCCGAAGCCATAGCCACGTAGGACGCACGTTCCACCGTCCCGTTCTCGGCCATGTCCACTCACCAAGAGACACAGGAGGACCAGCTCGTTCCACGCCGCGACCCTGACTGAGGCCAGACGGCGGAAGACCCCCAGAACCTCCGCCGAGGGACTGAGACCTCCCCCCCCCCTTTGTGACGTCACTGGCAGACGGGACACGCGTCCTTTCTCGCTAACAGAAAGAATTCGGCTCAAGCCAGGAACAAGTCGTGGGACGGAGGAAACCGTGCAAAAAAAAGTGTTTTTTAATTTATTTATTCAAGCAAGATTCAAAGTCTCAAGTTTTACATCACTTTCGTGGGTGTGAAGACATCGAGCATGGCTGTAGGTCCAATGATGTAAAGGGGAGAATAAGAGCTGACTTGAAAAGTGCGTATGGGCAGGTCCGCCCAGAGGTTTCCAGGGGCCTGGGGCAGATTGCCCCAGTTGCTCCCCCTCTGGGCAGCCCTGCGGTGGAGCTAAAACCTTCCGATGAAGCACCGATCTCAACGGCCCGAAGTGAACGAGTCCATAGATGGAGTCTTTGAGATTTTTCGTTAGATTTATCTCCGAGGATAAACGTTGCAGGTCCCTGCATCTCAGCATCCATCGACGACCAACCCGTCCCCGAACCAGAAGTCGAAGCATTCTGTATTTCAGTACAGAACTCTGGGACAAGACGAATCGCTCCGGAGCGGCTTTCACGTTTTCTCACATGCTGGCCGACATATTGGAGCACCTTAAATTCCGGTATTCGAGATCCCCTCGAGACGAGGCGAATCCATCGGCACCTCATCTGTCAAAATCGGGTCTGCAATCTTTCGTTTTCTCGAACGAACCTTGACGACACCGTTCTCGGGTCAAACACACCGTCGCCGCTCTCAGACGAACCCAACTAAAGCGCGCAGTTACTGGATTTGGTGCCCCACATTTTTATCCTTGCCCACAGAATCCACTTCTCAGTCTGTGCCCCAGGCAGGACATCCACGGTGAGCGACATGAGCTCGATCGCATTTCAGTGAGATCCCCCCACGTTTCACAAGTCTCATGCTGGGAAGAGTGATGGCATCATGAAGGCATTTATCAAGGGCTTTTTTCAGCCGATGGATGCAGTAGGGCTGATGGAGGGCTATGCATATAAAAAAATCAACGAAACACAGATTTATATCGAAGCTCATTGGAACAAGCTGGGCATCCATGCCTTGCAACATCGTGAGGAAAGGGAGAAACCGATAACCAGTCGGGTAATCACGGACATCTTTTATTCACTGAAAACAGTCCAAGGCAATCAACTGCAAATAGTAAAAGAAAACGTATTGCCATTTTTGCCATCTCCAAAAAGGTTAGATCAGACCTATGAGACTGCCAGTTGCACCAGAGTTCAAAACTTCTACAAGAAACAGAACAGTATAACAAAAATTTTCCCAAAGGATTCGGCAACAGAATTCTACCTTCTTTCCTCTGTCTACCTTCCATGACTGTACTTCTAAGGACATCTGATTTTCAGGCTTCAAACAGAGCCCTGAAACACTTAAAAAAAATGTTTCCCTTATATGCATCACAAGGTGGGACAAGTACTGATGCAATTCCATAAGTTCATCACAAACAACTCTTACAAGACCATGTAAGCATAAACCAAAACAATCAGGAATGGATAATCGGGCAGCTTACTGAGAGATGATACACATTGGGAACATGTCAATCAAGTTAGAGAAACTTGGAAAGCTCTCACTGCCACAGAGAGGAGGCTAGACTTATTTCAAGGGAGAGCTGATCCTTGCAAGTGCATATTTTGTACTTGAGATCTCACACAAGAGAAAGTCCCCACTGGCACCAGAGTCAGATGCTCTCATCAGTCACAAGTAGAGATCGAAATCAATGCGATTGAGGGAGTACCACTTCCCTTCCGTGCAGATTTGCCGCACCTGGATGTCCCCCTCAGGGAACTCCCTCACCTCTTTCATTTCTTTCATCTTCTCCGATGAGAAAGGTCCTTTCACCTCCTTCTCTGATCCTACTCTCCATTCCCAAGTCACATTGTCCGGTTTGGATGCTTGCTCTGTAAAAGAGACCCTGAGAAGTGACTGAGTTTTCATTGAAATGAAGGAACAAAACTATTCAAGGAGAGCCACATCTGCTCACTGCCCCTAGGAAAGACTAAACTAAACTAAAGGTAACAAGACTGAAGTTAGGGATAATGTAAAATGCAAAAAGCAGCCCATACGTTAAGGTACTGAAGATGACCATCAAGACCTGGCCAGCATGGCTTAGCTAAGGGAGAAGGGGGGATAATTGAGCAATAGTGCTCCTAGAATTTGGGTATATGAGTATTGAGGCACCAGAAGTAACCTTCCCCTAATGCCAGAGAATGGGAGCATACTGGGAAATTGGAGAAAGGGGAACTTCTACTCCAGCATGCCTAAGCCAGGGGATTTAAGCTAAATTCCCCCCCATCTTTGAGAAGTTCAAAGGGGGTGGGGTGAGATTGCCCTTCTCAATTTTCTCTGCATTTGCCACAGCAAGAGGTAATCATATGGCACCAGTCTAGTTTTAGTGAAAACAACGTATTCCCTTGTCAGTCATCTGTCTCAGACAGAGGATGTTTTCTTGCATTTCATGTCAAGCTTAACTTCAGTCTCTTTTATCTCCACCAAAGAGGCTAGATGTGACACTCACCTTGAACTATTACATTTTTTAATATTCCAGAGAGACATGCAGGATTTCATTTCAATGAATTCACAGGAGATGGAAATACCTTTTTCATGGATTCGAGGATCATCATCATCAGCAAACATATCCATAGGGTCCTTGGATGGTTTCAGAATATCCATCTGGCAATCCAAAGGCTCATTATGTCAATACAAATAGAGCAACAGGCTACCCAGATGTAGGAGAGTAGACTTCATGAAGAACCTTGCCTTGTGCTTGACAGATTCATACGTATATTGGTAGACATCCATGTCTCCAAGACTTGTGAGCAGTCCATCAGCTAGCCCAGTCAATTTGAGCATTTTAGCCTTGTTTTCTGCATCTTCAGCATCCTCCATCTCACCTCGCTTCTTCATTTTCAACCTCTCCAAGGAGCTTAAGGGCTTCTTCTTCTTGCCACCACCTAGAGTTATAGCAAGCTTAAGTATGAAATCATGTCTAGAAAAAATTAGGAGTTTCTGCAGACTGATCATTATAATGCAGTCAAGACAGCTTGTGTGAAAACTTCAGCCACCCCCTCCTCAGATATTCATTATAAATAACAATAATCCTCTGTATAAAGGATTACATGTGCTACATGCAAGATGAAAATCTCAAAAATGTCATATTGAGGACATGACTCACCAAGCCTTGTGAGAGCCTTGGCAACAGTCTCTCCTGGCTGAAGAATTGAGAGGATCTCTTCATATGCCTTCATAATTTCATCCTGTCCCAGGGACTCTGTATCTTCATCATCTTCATCCTCATTGGCCTCTGCCTGTCGCTCCTTCACCTGCAAAAATGAGGATATACTACTCATTATTTCATTAGATCAAAAAGAAGTAAGACTGTTCATGGTTGAGCTTGGCTGGAATTCTTACCTTCACCCAATCAATATTATCCAGCCAATGGTCCTTGACGAGCTCCTTATCATCCTTCCGTATATAATGTCCATCCTTGTCAAAATGACCTTCTTCCAATTCTTCCTGCATGTTGAATGGCATGATCTGGATGTCACCATCAAATTCCACAGTCTTCTCTTCTTGTCCTAAATAAAGACTTCCTAATTTAACCCTTTCAGACCTGGCATCCATTCCAATGGACATTGCATTTACATTGTGTCTATTGCAATTTCTTAAGATTCTCGTGACTTTGCACTCCATATTACACTACAATGGGTGCAAATATGCATGGCTTGGTTCTATCAGAGGCCTTCTTTCACCCATTAGTTTTGTAATCTTCAGTTATTTAATTAAAGTACAATGTATAATATATGGTATGATATGGTAAATTTATACAAAATATGAAAACTACACATGAAGCATGAAAATTTCAATTACAATCACGAAAAAGCTCAAAAAAGCAAAAAAGGATAATATTCAATAGTGGCCTTAATTCAGGTCTGAAATGGTTAAGGGGACCAACTGGTACGGAAACTGGGATGATGGTAGCACTCAACTGTCCAGAGTGAGGCATTTGTCACAGGCCTACAATAGCCTATTGTTCTCCCCAAAGGCTCTCATCATCCAATAGCAAAAAAAACCAATAACTTTAATTAACACTATGGATATCAGTGAACTCCTAATTTATAAATATATATGCAAGCTACAAAAATTGTTTGCTCTCGTGCAAATATGGTGAGAACCAATGAAAGCCATTTGACAATGATACAGAGGCAATGAAGACACATCAAAGGCTGGTGGAAGAAAAGCATATATTGCAATTCATGTTGGCATCTGTAAAAGCATTCTACTCTAGTTGCTCATCAGTTAAATCTACCAGTTCCAAGAGACTATGACTCAAAACCTATTATCTCAATTTTATCAGTGAATATAACTACACCTTGCAGGTTTTGAGTCAGACATGACGCTATACAATGAGGCGAAAGGCTTTCAAGAGATTACTGTTCTGAACTATTCTATTTAAAAATGATATAACAAGGTAACAACTATGAAGAGATGTTCAAAAATGAGAAATGCAGACATTTTTAAAACCAATATATTCAGAAAGCCCTAATAAAATGACAAGAAAAAGATGCAAAAGCATGCAGACTCGAATCTTGCATGGTCACAAAATTTGCACTGTATCATAGGGAAGATGTTACATTTGTCATTTAATACTCTACATTCCACATGAATGCTTTACTTGAATGTGAGAATATAATTATGACCCAAAAATGTGAATTTCCTGCACCTTTGTATGAAAGGGCTCAAGTGGCTCTCTGGCATATATTCATTTTAGTTTTCTGTCAAATCAATACAGAATCAAAAGAAGCTTCAACAGTTGACAATCACAGACTCACCTTCTATGTCATCATCTCGGAGTATGTCATAGTTTCTGCTGTTACCCTCTTCTTCCTCATCTGAGTCCAATGAATGCTTCTTTGGAGCTTCCTCAACAGCTCTAACTTTTGCAGGTCCCTCTCCATAAAGGATTTCAGAACTGGGATCATCCTCTAACTTCCTTTTCCTTTCCATTTTAAGTCACTCTATTCTGTGGTCAATAACCCTGTGGAGTCCAGTGATACAATTTTGACACAAAGTTTTTTCTTTCTGGACACATTCATGAGTAATTAGAAGTGCACTTAAAATTTGGTATATCCACCAACAGGACTTCCACACTTGCAACCTCTGTTCTTCATTTTCTAGACTTGAATAATGAACTAATGTTAATTTGTTGCTCTTAAATCATCCTGAGAATATCTGTCTGCATGTGAATTGTCACCATTAACATTTTAAAAATAAATTAACTTCGCCAGAAGAGAGGCAACTACATCCTAAATTAATACTACCTCCTGTACCGTTTATATTAGGCAATTAGGTTTTCCTGATCACATTCGGCACCAGCCCAAATGTTTTACATTTCAGCAGCGCCTCACACCACACACGTTCCTTTTTGACGATCAGACAGATCTTGGCCTATTGATTCTCACATTTGGCGTCATGCAGGGCCTATTGCATTACGCTACGCCAGTAAGACCTATGGGCCTACAAAACTATAAACCGTTGTAGAAAAGCGCCATTTCTCAACTTGTGCTTTGTGCACGCTACCATGTTGCACCTATCATTGTTGTCAGCGATGTCGCAAAAATTGCTGAGGAATATCTCCTTAACAGAAACGTCATCATCACTTGCGGAAGCCGGAGAATATACCTCCTTTCCAGAATCACGTATTACGTACATCAAACTAGCTGTCTTCTCTACTAAATAGCCATTTTGTTAAAAGACAGTTTGTGAATCGCAGACGTTTCTCTGGCCCCAACAGCCAGCGTGATCCTCATGGAACTTCATGCTGCCTCGCATGCAGTGTTGCTCACCGGGTTTGCTTTGCTGTAACGTGAGAGTAGCAATTGCGTTTTCGCTGTCAGACCCCCCCGAACCGCGGTAAATTAGGCGACGCGCGCGTGATGTGCCTCTCATTGTCTAAGAGTGTGTTGTCCGATAATGTACTGGAACTGTGAAAGCAGATTAAGCCTAGCCCTAGGACAAGCCTAGCCTGGGATTTCCCATTCATATCAACTTTGTCCCTGCTTGCAGAGCAGAGATCACGAGGATTGGAGAAGTCCACAGGTTGGCCTGCACAGTAACATTGCAAATATCCATTGCAATGTACCAAAGATAGTGTTCAGCCTTCTTTAACAAATGTCTATTGAGCTACAAAATGAACCTCTGCTGTAACATGGAACCTGGATTTACCTAGACTTCATCTAGTTCCTAAAACACCTATAAATTTCACACTTGAGAGACTTGACCCAGTAGAATTTATACACCAATGTGGATAAAAGCCCTCAAGCTGTATATATCATGATTTAAGAATGACCTACTAGAGAGATTTTTCAGAATCCCTTCCATCAAAGAAAGTTCTTAGAATATGTGACTCCTGCATCCAACTCCATTCATTGCCTTGAGTATCTTTTTATTCATGATGGTCTGAGCTTTGAAATCACTTCCATACATTGAATTCCATTTTGTGATGTATTGGTTTAAGTATGAATGAACTGTTTTATATAGTATTTTCTTCAAAATATGGTCTTTGGGATTTGTAAGTGCATACATTTTAAAATCAAGTCTTGGGCAATAGTTTTGGGGATAACTTTAAAATGTTCTATGGTTGGCTTTTCATCAAAACTTTTCTAAGATCATAGATTTTCTTTTTAGATCTTTATTAATTTTCACTCTTGAGTTCATGACATCCTGGCATACCTAAGCATCACATAACGGATATTGACATATTGATTAGTAGCCAATTGATCAAAAACATGGATTCTCTTCAAAGTAAAAAATTGCAGTATCAACAAACATTTTCAATCCTCATATTTATTGCTCTGAAAGATTTAATTTCATTTATAATTAGTAAAATGGCCCAGACAGACATGGAACCTTGGGTAATACTGTATAGCAAGTCCAACTTGAGAGACCATTGTGGTGTCTTGAATGATTTAAATAAATTTCTCCTCAATTGCAACTAAACTTTTGGGAAAATCAATTGTCCAATTCCAACTCCTAGCAAATGTTTGCTTTCATGAGGATCACATGCTTTTCTCAAATCTAGAGGAGTCCCAGATGCATGATTACTTGAACCTGATTCCATCAGTACTTTGTTGACTATCCTGTCATTGCCTGTAGTAGTGGTATGGTTCCATTCAAAATACCTACTGCTACGCTTACAAAAAAAATATCCCAGAGAGCTGATAATTTATTTGTGAGGGATTCTAAAATTTTGCTGAAGAAAGAAGGCATTAACACTGGTGTTTAATTATTTAAATTCTTTGGGTCTCCTCTTTCAAGATGGGTGCAACCTAGGCTTTCTTCAGCTGACTTAAAAAATAAACTATTCAAAGAAATTTGTTAAAACCATTTGTACTTGAGTAGCTTTTACCCGTTAAAGTATTTGAAAGAGGAGCTTCATTATTTTGCAGGATATTGCCTGAAATGTTTCTCTGCAGTAAAAATATTATGGGCATTCAAGGTGTCATGCAAAAATGTGCAATCAATACAGATATAACTCATGGCTTTAATCTGCAAAAAGCCTGGTATAATACATGACTTCTTCATTTGAAATATTTATTTTTCCAAGTGCGACATGTTCTCCATAGAGTACCTTATTAGACCAGTGTATTTTGACATTTTTCGAAGGTTAAGGTCTTGCATTATCAATAGTGCTTTATCTACTTTGACATTTATTGGGTTTTTCTTTTTCTCATCCACAGTTGAAAATTTCAAGCCTTGATTGTTGTTTTTCATCAGCAGTCATTGAAGCGACTGGCAGTCAAGCTGCACCCATCACCGGTTCCACTCATCCTGAATCTTCAGATTCAGCCAGTCCATCACAGTGTGACCCTGTTGAGATATGCTCCTTCTTTAAAAAACTATTAATTGAAACGGGAGTGCGGAGAATGTCCCAGGATCAAGTAAGTGTCATAGTGGTGTGAATAATTGCCAATTCAAAGTAAAGATAGTATGAGAAGAAAAACTTGACTCCATAGATTACTAGATAGATCCATAGACACAAAGAACTGAATGCCATTTATTTCCTCTTGATTTTATCATCCATTCTTAAGAGTAACAAGAAGCCAGGTCAAAGTATAGAAATACAGCAAGAACAAAAGCAAAAAGAAAAACAACAAATAATGAAAATGAACACCTTGCCAAAAACCTTCAAAAAGGACAAAATGAAGCCCAGAAAATAGAAATATCCCCATTTTGCCTTCCCCTCCAAAAAAAAAATAAAGTTGAGCAAGACACTGTTAGACTGGAATAAAAAAAGTCGATACCAAAAGGCAAGAGACACATGCGAGAGGCCAATGAGTCTTACCCATGTATTGTGTATGTTTGGCCAAGGTACCTGGTTGGACTGGACTTTCTGAATGCCTACTGGTATCAATATATAATTTGACATATCTGATGCAAACTTATAAACTGAAATCTTTCTGAATTCAGCGATATCTTAAACCTGACTGATGAAGTTTAGATATTCTTTCAGAGCATCCTTGAGGATAAAATAGCCAATTGGCCTGACATTTCTGAGCCTCCAGCTCACTTCCGTGGTCATTGCAAATTTGCTCATGTGATATTGACCTCTGTCACCTCGAGAGATTAAAGGTACATACCTGCTACTGGTAACCAGTAAATCACTATCCTCAATACTTGTAGTATTTTAAATCAGTCTGAACGTTGGTACTGGAAGATCTACTTTTTGTTTTGCTGTTTTTTTTTTTCCTGCTGCAATTTGTACAGAGAGATTGTAAGGATGGTGAGAGAGTTGATGTAGTTGCTGTGGTTAGTGTGGGAATGCATTGATACTCTGCAGGCTTGAATGCCATGGGATGGTTGGATTTAGTTCTCTCTCTTGGTGCTTAAAAAAAAGTCTATAAGTAAGCCTCAACTCATCCTGGAAAACAAGAACAAGAATTGCAGTAGATGAGTGTCTGTAAAAGCATCATTTACTGAGGCATGTTGATAATAAAAAAATCATTGCTACTTCTCACTCATATGACAAATGCCCATAGTTATAACTATTTCACAGAATGCTGCCACTAACAGGTCTCCCTTTACTATTATGTATCCTGTTCTGTTTTTGGAACTCATCTAACTGCAATGACTGAGGAAGTTGGTCACCCAGTCAGATGAAGCCTTTTTTTTCCATTCATAGGTGCATTAAAATAGCATATTTATTTTTCACTTCCTTCTTGTATATAGGATGCAATTAGCAGATTGACCTTTGATAGTTCAAGTCCATGAAACATTCCTGAAAAATTGTGTCTCTGTGTAGGAGTGGCTGCATCTAGAGCTACTATGCAAGCATCTGTATGAGTCATCAAATGCTTCTGAGCGGGCAGAGGCGGAAAAGGCACTGATCAGCTTTGAGAACTCTGAAGAATCCCTACCAAAATGTCAGCTCTTGCTGGAAAGAGGAACTTCCTCTTATGCTCAGGTTTTGGCAGCTCACACTCTCAACAAGCTGGTATCCCGTCCAAATTGTCCTCTGTCCACTTCTCAAAAAGTGGAGATGAGTGAGTCCTTTTTCTTTGATGTTTTCTGTCCTGATGAAAGGGTCAACTTTTTGTGTGTTTTTGCCTCTGTCTGAGACATAAATTAGAAGCCTTTGACTGTCTGATATATCTTGAGCCTTGTTTCATGCTGCTTCCCCCTCCAGGAAGTTATATCCTTCGCTACCTGGCCACAAGACCACAGCTTGCAGCATATGTCACTCAGGCTCTTGTTTCCCTATATGCTCGAATTACAAAGCTTGGATGGTTTGACCGTGAGAAGGAGGAATTCATGTTTCGAAATGTGATAGGTGATGTCACCAATTTTCTCCAAGTAAGCTCTTCATCTTCATGCAGGGTTGGCAACAAAAAAATTTTAAACCTGAATATTTTATTTTTATAAATCAGGTTTTTGAACATGTGTATTATTTCTAAGTAATTCTCATCACTTAGCTTTTTGTTATAACCTCCTTAGTTATCTATATTTTGTATTTTTTTTTGGTCAAGGATGAGGAGTATGACTAAGGCTGAAATGAAATAATCCATTGTTTTGCAGTATTGGATGCATTTGCACTATGTACTACCTTCAAGGGTCTATCGTTTTTGTTTATCTATCCACAAGGATGGAAAAAAAAGTTACCTAGAGTAAATAATGATAATAGAAGTAGGAAACTCTTGTACACATCAGACCTTAAGGATCTGGATCCTGAATTTTAGGATTAAAAAAAAATTTAGTATCAAACTCCATACACCCTTAATCCTAGTGTTCTAGGAAAATAGGTCCAGAGCCCCAAATATGAGAATTCTGCTTTAGTTGAATTGATGAATTGAATCATCACTTGATAAATCAATCAACCCTGTCTCCATTGAAAGAGATAAGCATGCATCAGATATACTGTATGCAATGAATGATTGCAGGGATCTGTGGATCATTGTGTGATGGGTGTACAGCTGCTTTCCACTCTCGTCTGTGAGATGAATCAAGTGAGTGAGTGTGAGGCCAATCGGTCCATCAGTAAGCATAGGAAGATTGCAGCATCCTTCAGGGACACTCACTTGTTTGAGATTTTTCAACTCTCCTGTGCACTTCTCCGGTCAGCATTAGAAAATTGCAAGAAGCTCTCCTATATTGATGATTCTCAGGTTGGCCTGCTGTGAATTCTTTTGCAGAGCTTTCATTTCTGCATTCTACATTGCTTACCTGTGACTTTGACTTTTTTTGCAGCAAAATTTGATGCATCAGCTTTTGAAATTAGCTCATAATTGTCTCACATTTGACTTCATTGGGACTTCCATTGATGAGAGTTCAGATGATTTGTGCACAGTCCAAATCCCAACTAGTTGGAGGCCAGCATTCCTCTCCTTCAGTACACTTCAGCTATTCTTTGATCTCTACTCTGTTCTTCCTGTATCAATATCACCAATGGTAAGTCTTCTAGTGCTCCTATCCCTAGAATGGTGATGCATTGCTTCATAGCATATGGTATCCCCATTGTAGGCTTTGTCGTGCCTAGTCCAGCTTGCATCTGTGAGACGATCTCTATTCAACAATACAGAGAGGGCAAAGTTCCTCAACCAGCTGGTATCTGGTGTAAAGACTTTGCTTCAGAATCCTCGGGTGAGTATTTCTATCTCTGTGCTTTTGATGAGTAAAATCCCCTTTTGTCAAGTTCAGTAGTTACAATCTTATTGTATCTTTACTTTCTAGGGGCTTTCAGATCATAATAACTATCATGAATTCTGTCGTCTCTTGGCGAGGCTGAAGACAAACTATCAGCTGGGGGAACTAGTCACAGTGGATAATTATCCACAGTTCATTGAGCTGATAGCAAACTTCACTGTCCAAAGTCTTCAGGTGATTGATTCCTACCTATTAATGTTCCCTCATGTAATGAAAATGGAATGAGTAATTCCAAGAGGCTTGGTTATACCCCAGCTAGTGTTCTTGGCAGAAAACTCATATGATGCCATACTTCAGGAGCATCAGATTGATGAAGCAGTTCTTCTCATTGCACTGTTGTATGACTTTTTCTTTCCTTTCTCTCCCACCAGATGTGGCAGTTTGCTCCCAACAGTGTTCACTACCTCCTTAGCTTGTGGCAACGAATGGTGGCCTCTGTGCCTTATGTGAAGAGCACTGAGCCCCACATGCTTGAAGTCTACACACCAGAAGTCACCAAAGCCTATATCACCTCCAGGCTGGAGTCTGTGCCTGTTGTTCTTCGGTTAGTCTTCACTGAAGCAGTTCCTACCACATGCTGTTAATAGTAATGTTCCATGTGTTATGTTTCCAGACAGCTTCAAAAACTGATGGAAATACAGGAATGAGTGCTTGCTGAAACTTGTATACCAAGGGGAAACTCAGCATGACGTTGATAGGTTTTATGGTAAGGCAGTGATGTTCTTGTCTGCAGGGAAGGCCTAGAAGATCCTCTTGATGACTGGGGACTTGTGCAGCAGCAGCTAGATCAACTCTCAACAATTGGGAGGTGTCAATATACAAAAACAGTGACACTTTTGGCACAACTCTTTGACAGCACAGCACAAGAATTTCAGCAACTCATTTCTGACCCATCAAAAGCTTCATTGCAAGAAGTTCGCATCAAAGAAGGTCTGTTTGTGAATTAATTTCAATTTGGAATCTAATAGCTCAATTAAACATAGCTTTTCTGCAGGACATTCTTGAGAATTTTGAGCAGGGGAAGCCTTGTCACTTCTCGGATCAGAGCTCTGTATGACATGCAGTTCTATCTCCTGAGGAAAGTCACTGGCAACAAAATAGCTTTATGAAAAGCAAGGGATTAACCCCTTAACTGGGAACTTTTGAAGGCATATGTGCGGTGATTCCATTGAGAGATGGCAGGTGCCAGACCGCACATATGCGGCGAGTCCATTTAAGGGATTAAGATGACTGACTACCATAGTGACATGCTTGACACACATCACTGATGTGATGGAGACATGGAAATCTTGTTTACATTCAGACAGGTTGCCAGCTGTAACATGATGTCTCCTACATGTGAAAGACATTTCTAACAGTTCAACATGTCCAGTAATTTGCTGCATCATGCAATTTGCTGCAATCCAGAAGTCTGAGGAACATCAGCTAAATGAAGGTGTTTGCTGACCAGAAAAATCTGAGAAAGTCAGGATTTTGGAAGTTTCAGTATTTTCAGGGAAAAGTTAGGTTCTTCAAATTTGTAAAATAAGGGAGATTAAATTGAAAGTACCTACTTGAAGTATCCACTAGAATGCTGTTACTTTTGAAATCATAATTTTCAGCATGAACTTTCTTGATTCCTCTAGGTATTCTGGCTTCTTGACTCCTTTTGCCATTTTTTGGCTATTATTTGGGTTTGCAGTGCACATTTCCAAATGTGAAGGAGGATACTGTAAATATGAAAGATCTCTCCCCAATATTTCTGTTTTTCACTGTCTGTCAATGAATGAAAACAGAACTCACAAGGGAAATATTTTGTCTCACAGGACAGTTAACATGGCTGGTGTATATCATTGGGGCAGCTGTTGGTGGTCGAGTGTCCTTTAACACAAGTGAGGAACATGATTCCATGGATGGAGAAATAGTTTGTAGGTAAGTTCTTGAAGACCCCAACTTGAATCTCTACTGAATACTGATGATATCCAGTTTTGGCCATCATGCTATCTCCAGTCAGTCAAGCAGAAGGCTCTTGTTTTTTTTTTTTTTCAGGGTGCTTCAGCTCATGAATTTGACAGATTCTCAGTTGTCACAAGGTGGATCACAACAGCTAGAGCTTGCCATGCTCAGTTTCATGGAACAGTTCCGAAAGATCTATATTGGTGATCAGGTGAGCTTAGTACATTTGGAGGTTTGCCCTTGAATTCACTGCTTCATTTAAGATTCAATTTGTCAGTACGAGCTTTGAAGAAAGTAAGCTCTTTAAATCACAGATGGCCTTTCAATGAAAGACATGAAACTCCATGGATGCTTTTAATGTTAGGTGCAGAAGACACCAAAGGTGTATAGGAGACTGTCTGAAAACTTGGGTTTGGAGGATGAATCTATGGTTCTCAGTGTCTTCATTAGGAAGATGTAAGCTTAATTCCATCTTTTTTTTCTGTGGTCTCTTTCTTGTAAGAGCTTGAAGATGTGTCTGTTCTTGTTTCTCAGCATCACAAATCTCCGATACTGGGGAGCATGTGAAGCAATCCTGACACGCACATTATCCCTGCTGAATGACCTCTCAGTAGGCTACAGCAGTGTGAGGAGGTTGGTGAAGCTGGAGGAGGTGCAGTTTCTCCTCTCCCATCACACACCCACACATTTCCCCTTCCTCGGGGTGGGGTTGGTTGGGGGAGCAGAAATGAAGTGTCGGAGCACCTTCTACACTGCCTTAGGGCGACTTCTCATGGTTGATCTCGGCGAAGATGAGGACAAGTTTATCTCCTTCATGATCCCACTTGCCAGTAAGTGCTTGGTCTGCAATATTTTCATTTAAAAATTTTGGAAGAAGATTGCTTGAGTCACTCCCTGTATTCATTTTTTCTTGTGCACAGCCAGCTTTGAAAGTGTGGGAAAGTTGGTCCTTGAAGGTGGAGAAGCAGCTGCATCGAATGAAAGTGCCAAGAAAGCCCTCATTGGCCTGGCCAGAGATCTAAGAGGCCTTGCATTTGCCTTCAACAACAAAGCAGCCTTTGGCATGTTCTTTGATTGGATGTATCCTTTCTATTTCTTTTCTTTTATGATGAATGGAGGTAGCACACCCCTTTCTGAAAATGTTGTTGCCAAGGTTGTGGAAATGCAGTCCACCACATGAATCATTAAGTGCTGGTACAGACCCAATCCTGGGTGAAAGCAGCCTCCATGCACACAATGGGTTTTTTAAGGTTCATACATACATAGACCATAGTGGTGACTGGACTAGCAAAACAGTGAGAGGAATACACCCATAAGTATGGATGAATTTGTCTCACTTTTATCATTGAAGATGTGGAGAGAAAAAAAGCTGAAGCATATCCCCCTTGGAGAACCATATAGGAAATTAAAATGAAAAGTTGAGAGCATTTGACTTCTCTCAAAGTCCATGAAAACAAAGACACATGGACATGTCCCACTACTCTTACTTGTACATCCTGATTAGTAGGCAGTCAGAGCATTAGATTGATATTTATCAATGGAAGTGACCTTGACTTCTTGTATAAAGGGTATCCATAAAGTTACCATATTTGGGTGACTTTCTTTTATTGAATCCAAAATAGAGGTATCCTTTCATTTTTTGTGCATAGACTGACTATAGGTAGACCTGGGAAACATATCTCATCCTTCCACAATGGTGTGACTGAGTCTCTATTTCACTTGTTTGGATTTAATAGGACAAATGAGGTGCTTCAACATGTTTTCCTTTGGTAACCATTCAAAATTCTAATTTAACAGGGTTGTTCCTCAATGTTCAAGTTGTGGGACAAACATCTATTTGGTGATAATTTTTTAAAATTCATGTTTCCCTTAGAGGAAGGGCCCAATAATGCATCTCTGAGAAATTGTGCCCTTGGCTGTTATTTTTGAGGAGTGCAGAGACTCCTCAGTACTCAGGGTTTTCAAATGAGGTTCACTAATAGTCAGTTGTGTGTAAAAATGTTGCTATTTCAGATTCAGTGATAAAGTAGTTTAGATAGATTGCAGAATGAACCAATCAAGACTTACAGAAGAGGCTGTTCATCCTGTCATCCATAATCCTTCGATAGTCCAATTAGGCTGAGTTGCATGAAGCTGCTGTATTTTCTTGTAGGTGAGCCCTACTTAAACATTGGGACATTCTGTGACACTGAAGGTCCTTTTCCCTTGCTCTGCAGTTGTGAGAGAAGGCATTGTGTTGGACAAAAACCATATTGGGTGGGAGGTAGGGCCCAAGAGTCCTCCTGAAGGTGAAGTAGCTGTCCATGAACCCCTTGTGAATCTTGTCTCCACCCACATTCTTATCCTCCTCCCTTCCTTCCTTCTGCTCTTATATCTTAGTAACATCATATCTGCAATGTTCTGACTGAATAGGATTTAAAAGGTATATAAGAACAGGGAGTTGTCAGCAATGGTATATAATTCTTAATGTTACAAATATACTTGCTTATGCTGTGCAGAGTGATAATGAATTCCAGTCCTATTTCTTTCACTCTATTCACTGATGGTTGTAGACAAAGGAATCCTTTACCAGGAATATACAGACTATGCATGGAATTTTCTCTACTGTATTGCTACCGTTTTTCCTGTATGCATGAAATACATGCTTTAGCATTATCCATGCATGCTTCAATATTGTAATTGTCAATACCCCACATCTCTTAACACATTGACGCTGGGAACTGTAATATTACGTTTTTAAACCCATATTGTTCTCTAGTCGCTGGGTGTGAATGTGTTAACATAAACCTCCCTTGTGAGCTTTGGGGTGGTTTCCTTTTCATGGATGTGTGAACTGCACAACAGAGCATTATTATTTTATATCACATCTTGGATGTGACGAGTATTCATTCTTAATTTTAAAAATAGTAAAAAAATGAAACCATATGGTGAATTTCATAAACTTTAACCATTTAGACTCCAACTATTAGAAAATAACTAAGTTTATCTTTGTGCTATAAGAATCTATGTAGATGTTTGAATCATTCTCTTCTTTCCTTGGGATATAAAGGATATTTTAATGAATGAATTGTATTATGCATTTATGAGGTAAATATACAACTCATCATTTTTGTATCATGGGCAACCTATATGGAGTGAGCCATGACTTCTACTGAAGTTCTATCCTCTTCAGTGAAGAATAAGGCACTTTTATCCTGATTGCAAAAAGGTGCACAGATGCATCAAAATACTGAATTGAGGTCATGACCCTCTTAGCTTGAGAAACAGTATTTGGGAACTCCCTCTTGGGGTTCCATCCATTTCTGATTCTTCATTCCTCCTCTCCCATAAAAAAAAGCTGCAGTCCTTTTTATCTCACTAAAAAATGCAATAGTGGTTGAAGTGAAACCTGTACTTTCTTGTGCAGTTTATTGGCAGGAAAGTACATGAAACTTTACCCATTTCTCAACTCCATCTGTAGTTATGCAATTTTACTTTTGTATTCTGATTACTTAGATGCTTGGAGTTTAGACGTCTTTGGATAGGCCTCAAAGCCATTGATGGATGCAATTTAGCCCTAAGCTGTTACTCTGTAGTGCTTCCTGCTCAAGGTCTTATTGAGGAGGTACAAACATCACCTAAGTACACTTTGCAGAGATAAGGTGGGATCATCATGCTAGTCAGGAAGTCTCCTGTGAATTTCAGCTATTTTCAAATCTTCCTTTGCAGGATATTTCATAGCCTGTCATTCCACTTTCACCCCAACAGATGCCATCTTGGGTGTAAAATATAAAATTGTATATGGCACAGTGGCACCACAAGGACTTTGTGAGTAATAGGGTGATCCCTGTGCATAATGCATGTTCTTTGACCATAGACCAGGGTTGTCAAACTCAAATCGGTTGGTGGGCTGCATTCCTTATCCTGCAGATGCCTGTAGACCACACCCATACTTTTTCACTGAAATTTGTGCTAACAGTCAATCCAAGTGAAAATTTCAAGAACAGATGGCAGGCCAGATGAACCAACTCTGCAGGCCGTATGTTTGACACCCCTGCCATAGACCAAGAACATGACACTCTCCCTCCCCCTCTTCCACCTCAATGAACCCTATAAAGTCAATTTGTCTTGGAGTTAAACATTGTTCACAGCCCTGAATGGGGCTTGCCAAGCTAGTGAATAGAAAAGGTATGCCTGTGTTGCTGCCATACATGTACAGGATGGAAAAGGCAAGACTCACTTGAACCACTCTCATATTTTAAAAGAATTAATGCTTATGCATGATTTAATATGGTGGCATCTGAACTAATATGGAAGCTTCATCTAAGTCTAAGCATTGAGTGGAAGTTCAGTAACATATCCTTGATATATCGTGTGATTCCTTGACAAAGGGGAAGCTACCCAACATATACACCCATTTTGGTTCGAGCCCTTGAGATTTGGTTCACCGATCCTCAAGTCACAACTCCAATCCTCAAATTCTATGCAGAATTTGTTGTCAATCGGTCACAGAGACTGAACTTTGATGTCTCTTCCCCAAATGGAATCTTGCTTTTCAGGGAAGCAAGTAAAGTCATCTGCACATATGGTTAGTTCATCTGATTTCATCTCTAATTGAAGTTTTTGTTCCTGAATCTTCACTTTGTAGGATTTATATAGCATTTTGTCCCCTACTTTGCCTAGGTTCACGGGTGCTCACTCTACCCGAGGTGTCGAAGGACCAGATGTATCCTCTAAAATTGAAGGGGATATCCATTTGTTTCTCACTTTTGAAAGCATCTCTTAGTGGGAATTATGTGAACTTTGGAGTTTTTCGGCTCTATGGGGATGATGCACTTGACAGCGCCTTGCAAATGTTTGTCAAATTGCTCCTCTCCATCCCACAGCATGACCTCATGGTGAGTTTCAGAAATTTTAAACAAGTTTGTTCCATACCACAGACCCAAGGCATTTGTCTGGACTCTGCTCTGATTGCGATGTTGTGTTGCTCTAGGATTACCCAAAGCTGAGTCAGACTTACTTCATGCTGCTGGAGTGTCTTGCTCAGGATCACATGGTCTTCCTGGCAATTTTGGATCCCCAAGTGATACTGTATCTCCTCTCATCTCTGTCTGAGGGGCTAACTGCACTGGGTGAGTATCGTGAGAGTATAGGATCTATACCATGTTTCAATATCTATATGAGGAGGATTGGTCAGTATCTCATTTTTCTCCTGAGTCCCTTCACACACATTCCCATATTTTGCCTGTGCAGGGTTCTGTATCTGTTCACTCCAACACCAAACTGGTTGTTGGTCACCTCAGTGAGAGGAGTATTTGACCAATACTCTACAATACCTGGGTGACTGTGATCATAGTTCAGACCCAAATGGAGTGCCTGTCCAACACCAGACAGACTTTGGAAATGCTTCATGGACTTAAAGAGTCATAAACATTGTATTCAACTTGGGTGTCTGGGATGTGACTTCTTTTTCCTCGAAGAACATTTCTGCGCTCAACATGTGAAAGCCTGTCTGAGCTGAGAATTGGAAGGTTTGCAAGAACATTCTGCTATTCAACAGCCACTCCCATATCTTGGGGAGCTTCAGCCTTTTCTTGGATGCAACTGCTTAGTGGAACTCCTTCCTCTGGGCAGTGGCAATTGTCTCAGTGACACTGTGCTTCAGGAAGATGTGCTATTCTTCACACCAATCAGGCAGGAGTTTAGACCATTCCTTCCTTTCCACTGTAAAGATTGCTCTCGGTATATAGGAAAATTCTGACAAGAAAGGACTGGCTTGGGTAAGAAGGAAAAGCATCAGTGGTGCTTGAAATTGAGACAAAGTCATGGGCTATATGAGAGGGCCATATAACCTATGACGCTGCCTCATTTCACTGTTTGTTTGTCTGTCTTTTCATGTGAAGCCTGTATGCAGCAAGAAAGTGCATCGGAACGTGTGTGAAAGGACATAAAAAGATAATGCCTTGTTCATCCTCCAAAGGGCATTTTCTCTTTCAGATACGATGGTGAGCACGGGTTGCTGTGCAACATTGGATCACATAGTTACTTTTATGTATAAACAGATCTCAAGTAAAGGTGAGTGTTCATTCAAAGTGGAGCTGAAATCTTTGTAGCAAGAACACTGTGAGTTTCTGATTTCTGATGTGTCTCAGGGAAAAAGCCTGCAGGAAGTCAAGAGATGCAGATGGCAAGAGAAGCTGTGATCAAGCTCTTGGAGTTACAACCAGAGCTCTTCCAAGGAATGTTATCCACCGTTCTCAACATGGTTATGTATGAAGATTGCAGGAACCAATGGTCCCTCTCCCGACCCCTTCTTGGCCTCATCCTCCTGCGTCAGCAGGTACTGGCCCCTGCCTTTGCCAGAATCTCCTGTCTGTTTCTGTTTTTGCTGTTGCCTAATTTAAGAGAGACACCCCCCCCCCCCCTGCCTATTAATTGCCTAATTTAAGAGACCCCCCCCCCCCCCCCCTGCCTATTAGTACTTCCAAGAACTGCGGGAGAAGATCATCAGTCAGCAGCCTATGGAGCGCAGGGCTGCCATGTCTCAGTGCTTCGACAGTCTCATGGAGGACATCGAACCCAATCTCCTCACAAAGAATAGAGACAAGTGAGCTCATCATCTTGATTTCATTGCACTTCTTTTTCCTTATATTCCAGGCTTTAAAGGTTTTTCATACCTTCCAAACTTTATCTCATACCAGAAATTTCAAGAAAAAACATATTCTTAAATTGAGTACAATGAAAAATTTTGCAAGCACAAAGTCCATATGCTATTTCATGCCTTGCTTCACTCCTTTTATGATTGGTGCAAGAATTTGAAGGAATGTGCATCCAAGAAATTAGCAATTTACCTACTTGACTGATGGCTTTATTTGGGAGTGCTCAAGTAATTGAAGATTCACAAAGCCCTTAATTGTTAATTTAGCTATAAGAAACCTTGGCTGAAGGGAAGAGAATTTTTCCAATGGAAAATTTCTCCCACAAAAGTTTCTCTCAGAAATTTACAAAACATTCTACTACTGCTAAGTGAAATTATTTGTTCCAGATTCACCCAGAACCTCTCAGTGTTCAGGCGGGATATCACAGACTCGTTGCGTGGCAATCCGCTCGCGAACACATCACTGACCAACAACAATCCCAGTTTAGGGGAGATGATGGCCACATAATTTGCCGATCTCTTTGGTCTCCACTCCCTTTTATCACTGTGATGAAAATTCTCTCATCTTATGGCTTCTTCTTTGTTTCTCTCTGTCTCCTTCACTCATTCATTTGCTTCAAATGAATTTTTTTGTTCAGTTGTGCATGTTTTAGATATGGCTTCCTAAGTTTTTGAATTTCATATAATTCTCTCCATATTCAGATGTTCCACATAAATCAGGAAAGATGAAGAGAATCACAAAATCATGAATATGTATGATACTGATGGATGATGCTATCTGATGCCTGATCAGTAAAGTGATTCTATGCCTGCTCATCCATATCTTTTTTTTCAACAAAATGGTCAGTTGCTCAAAAAAATCTGCATTTCATGAATACTCCACAAAGTTTTTCATCACTAATATCACAACCACAATTGAAGAGAAATAGGTGTTCAGTGGCGAGGATGAATTTGAAATTCTCAAAAGAAGCTTTTTTTTGGGGGGGGGGGGGGGGGGGGGGTTGAGCGCTTTAACTTGACTGGAGATGGGCCCGTCGTGCCTTGATCCTTTTTTTCCCCACATACTTAGTGTAACATTAATGCAAATTTTTTCTTCATTCTACTTTCTGCAGTTGTCAGATGGGGGAACTACCTAAATCAAGATTTTACTTTACGCATCATTTGTTCCCTCCCCATCTGCACTTTCAAAGCCAAAGGAAAATCATTAAAAAAAAGTGAAGTCCTTTGAAGCAGATAATAGATTTCCTGCGAACTAACACAGGATTGATGCAAGGGTGAGCAGCATGGGACCAAAAACAGTTGCAAACACAAATGAACCACCTGCCAACACCATTTCTACAAATTTGCTTTTTTCCCACATGCATCTTCCTTGATTTTGTGCCGAGTAGCATACCTGCTGTGATCTTTATCGAGAGTGTACAAGGCTTAATATTTGGAGGGTACACACAAGGGCAGTGATGAAGTAAGGATATGAAAGGCTGAAACAGTCATTGAAAAAGTGTTGCAAGTTATATTAACCCAGGTTTCAGACTTGGAGGACCAAGAACAACCAAGTACTGGATTTCTGCGAATTGCATCCATTTCCCGCGTACAGAACACCAACTTCCAGGGAATATTAGAAATGGGAATCCGTGTAAAAAAAAAAAAAAAAA